GTATTATCTTGTCTCACATAGAGTAGTTGCCAACGTCGATAGCTGATGTTCAAGGTCGACCCCTTCCCCGTCGACTCACTTCATCAGCCACCACCGCACGCGATAATCGTCGTCTACCATCGTCGACACTCGACGAGTGGCGACGGCGTTTAAACATTTTTGTGTGCCAAGTGCCAACCAATGTAAGCACTAAGACTAAGCATTATTTTAGTTTTAGTATTCATACGTTCGACGTCGTACGTCGTACTATCGGCCGGTCACACCGGTGGGTGCTGTGTAGTCTAGGTGAACGTATTCGTTTTTTTTTTTAGTTTTACTTAGGTAGGTATCCTCAATTTTAATTTTTTCTCTTCTTTAAAAACTCATGAAAATGAATCAGCTCGGCGAGTTGAAGCTGTTCGGGGTGACCCGAAGATTTACACGACAATAACCTAGGCTGCWACTAGGTACTTAACCGTCTTAAGCTATCAATGGAAATAAAATATATTGAAACCGTCTAATTGACAAACTGAACAATAATAGTAATACAATAATTACCACCAGGATCGAACATAATATTATAATGGACAGTTCTGAATACGAATCGGTAAGAAATGAAACGCTGCTGTTCTTTTTTGAAAAATTGGTTGACAAGGGCACTCCGCGATCCCTGCACGACCTAAGTTGCCAATTTGGTTCCAAAGGATTTACCAAAGAGATGCGACAGATCGCTGGCGGATCTCAGTCAGGCCTAAAGAAATTCTTGTCGCAGCACCCATCGTTATTCACGTTAGATGGGGACTTAGTTGCTGCATCTCAGATTGYTGCACCTGTACAAGCAGTTAATAATTATAACCACAAAGCCGTCCATTATTTTAAAGATAAGTTATTAAAATATGGAGTTGGAACTGAAGTCCCAATTCGATGCCTACTCGGACACCGTTCTCAAGCGCCACCAGAGATCCGGTTAATATCTGGTCTACACATAAAAGAATTTAGAGACTTTCTGATGAAATATCCTGATGTATTTACTGTAAGTGAAGACACCATTATACTTACTGAGTACGCAGGACTGGAGCGTAAATTGTATGATGATAGCGACCAACGTGAAGCCAAAATTGATCCAGAAATTACAAAACGTCTCTTAGCATTTTGTGTTCAATGCTTGGAGTGTAAAGGACCAATGTTAACTGATCAAATGTTCCATAGTATTTCCTTGCGTTTTACAGAAAATACTTGGTCATCGATTTTTAAAACTCCATCAGATTTGTTCACATTTTTGAAAATGCATCCTGAGCACTTTAACACACAATCCAATTTAATAACCTTGGCAAAAAATGGTCCTAAATCAGAAGTTAAAATCACTAAAATGCCTACAGAAGTTGTACCATTAACACCCCCTATGTCGCCTCCTCTACCCAAACCAACACCAAACAATAATCAATCCCTTAAACAAAGAATTAACAATTTGGTTATGAAAACTATCGCAGACAACACTGAGCGAAATAACAAAATACCAAATGGTTATGATGATAGCGATGCATGGAAAGGAAAAATGTTAAACAAGATCAAAGCAATTGTTACAAGTACTAAAGAATGTTCAAATATTGTCGATAGAATTTTGGCACAAAAGTCAGCTGTTGGTATAGATTTTGAAGGTTTATGTATTGGAGCCAATGGTCAATTAACTTTAATGCAAGTGGTAAATGAAGATGGATTATGTTTTATATTTGATTTAATTGCTTGTCCACAATTAATTAAAAGTGGATTACAAAGTCTACTAGAAAGCGAAGAAATACCTAAGGTTAGTAAAATATATCTATTATTTTAGTTAATACCAACTTATTTAATACAATAGGTTTAGTATTACCCGRRGTATTACCTAATTAAATACTATCAACCTAAATAAAAAATAAAATTTCAATAAGTATTAGGTATGATGTATAAATATATAATATAGATTTATGTTTTTTATAATCTATAGGATCTATATTATGTATTCTATAGGTGCCCTTACAAAATCCCATAAAATATTAGTCAATATAAAAACTTTCATGTTATGATGGATAATTAAATATTTGTAATTTTGTCTGTATTACTTTGGTTATTAAACTAGATAATTGGATTATCTTTGGTACCTAATTTTATTTTTCAGCCAGCTGTAGTTATCTACCTACCCAATATCTAATATATTACTATATTTTTATAAACTATAAATTTTTTATTCTAATGATTGTCTAATATTTCTTATGCTTATTTACTCGATTCTTCTAAATGAAATTGCAGCAAACAGATATACCTAAATTGTGTTTATCATTTTTCCAATCATATTTGAATTATTTACCAGGAAACTCATTAAATTTTAAATGATTGTTTGAATTAWGTACCTTMAAAATAATATTTTTATGAAATCTGTTTTATCAATGCTTATAAATTAGTAATGATCTGAGTAAATACCTTCACATAAGTTATTGAAAGGTTTTTCTGTAATGCTTACCTACTTATAGATTTAATCTGTGTTAAATGTACTTACCTACAATATAGATAAATTATATACATGAAATATAGGTCAGTGTTCTATGGTATAAATATTAACTAATAATTTATGTATGGAGATGCCACTACATTGTAGTTCATTGTTAATATAATATAGTTTCCAATCCYTTACTTTCTTTTATCCAGGTTTATATCACATGATCTGTAAACAATTTTTTACATTCAGTGCCATTAAAATTAAGTTGAGTAATCGGGAGTTTTGAACTAAGAAATCATCCTTCGACAGAACTTCTATTTGAGTGGTTGATTTCAGTCCTTGAACTTGTATTTTTTATAAATTAAACAAAATACCTAAAATTTTATTGTGAGAATTAAAATTAAAAAGTTTTTTGAGACGTACTTATTATAATACTGATACCTACCTAAGTTATCAATGATTTTTATTTTTGCACTATAAAATATAATTTTTGCAACGTAAAATTATTAAAAATAAAACGTATATAGSGCATAAAGTGTATACAAATGTATACGTAGCCCGCATTAAACAATTAGTGAGAAGCACATTATATGATATAGGTATGTATACGCAGTAGCGTATATAGAAATAATTTTTGGGGTGGGCTATAATATATATAGCGACTAACAATAATTATCTAGCACCTAGAGACTACAATATAGTTAACAGTTAAGACTGTAATTTCGGGAGGGGCTGCAGCCCACTAGGCCCCCCCCTTATATACGCCACTGTGTATACGAGTATAGTATATACTTATTAGGTTATTAACAGATATTTTTTAGATTAGGTTTTTGAATTCAATTAATTAATCAAATAAAATATAACTCATACAAATATGAATAGAATTTTTTCTGTAGGTATTTTCTGTTGTGTATATATCTGGCAAAAATACCTAAAGATAATAAAAACAATAGAGTTGGTACTTACTATTGATTAAATGGCCAACTACCAAGGAAATAACTTATAAAGCAGGGGCGGCCACTAACCTTAATTTTAGGAGCTGCAAATTATAAAGTTCAAAGCRAGACACATTGTTATAATATAACTTTTATTTTTTACACTACCTAGACCATTACTATTCAGGTTCACATCAAGGAATGAGATTTTTTTTGAGAAGTAMTTTTATAATATACTTATTTATTAATTTTACTCTAAACTTTGTGCCAAGAAACGCCATGAGACTAACTCGAGAGCCGCATACAACTAGCAAGCCTTGTTATGGCCACCCCCGTTATAAAAGTGTCTAAGTAGTTATATTACGGGATAGGAGTAATGAATATGAATACCTATCTATATATATATATACAGGTACATACATATATGTAGGTACATACTATCATTTTTATATTAAGAGGTTGTTAGCACATTGTTATTTTTTTCCACGTAATCTCCACGGTCCACCTACAAGACATACAAAATACATTAACACAGAATCATATTTTTGAATAATCTTGGAGTAAAATCACACATTACTAAAACAATAGAGATTAATTCTTTTGAGAGCTTAACCTAACTCAAAAATCATAAAAACGATTTTTGGGGAAATCATTTTATCTATGTTGCGTAATTGTTTATACCTCTATCTCCCCTAATTTTGTAATCACACCCTCTCCTACTAGCAAACTAAAATCCTAACCTTAAGTGCCTCCAWTGGRTGGTTTCTTATTTCCAGCCTCTCAAAAGCCATATCACCTCCATCACATGCACTTATTGTAAAACAACATTTACAGATTGTGTATATTTAAATAAACGTTAAAAAAATAAAAAAATAAAATCTATGTTGCGCAGAGGTCTGAAAGAGAAAACAAATATTCTGCTGACATCCTCTTAATTTAAATACCAATTTTGAGTTAAATAAAATGTTATTTGTGCATTTAGTCTAACATTAATCCAACATTGTTTAGTACTTTATTGTGTAACAATACAAAATATAATGATTTTATTAAGCTCATTATAACTTTCCTTGCAAATTTATAACTTTATCGTAGCCCTTAATTGTTCACATAATAACATATTGTATTTTGTGATTAACTATAGTTACATTTTATTTACTAAATATACRAATTAATTAATGTTACATTAGTACCTTCCAAATAATATTATCAAATAATTATTTTATTAATTTGTTTAATAAATGTCAGCTTTTATTTTAAATAATATAAATTACAATTAAGATCTAACAACTCATAAATGAACACTTGTTGTATAGTATATTATACTATTCCCTTGTTTACTTTTAACTCTTGCAATTAGGTATGCRTCATACACCRTACACCATAGAAACTAAAAGGTATAACAATAATTACATATTTAAAGAGATAAGCAATTAAGTGTGTATTTACATCTGTATATTGTAATTAGCAGAAAAAATAGTAGGTATATTATATTGTTGATTAACAACATAAATGTACTATGATGGAAATAAATATAAGTGTTTTTTCAAAATAAAATTTTATAAAAATTGTGTTTGTGTTAATTATTTAGTATTTTATTAGTATATCTTATTAAAAGTACAACTTAAGACACTTTTAATTAGATTTTAAAGCTTTTGTATGACGAGTCTAAAATTTACCAAAATAAAATTCCAATGGCTCWTAATAGTTTATAATAAAATATAATTTTTTTAAATTTCTATGATTATATCTGTTGTATTACAACAAAATAACAAAAATTGTTTATAAATACGGTAAGGAGAAATCATTATTTTACTAGTGAATATACTATTTCGTCAATTTGAATGTAGAGCTATGATGACATCTTTTTGATATTTTTGATTGCTATGAAACAACATACGACGAATGTTGCTCAGACCTTTATGTTTTTTTTATTATTTTTTTTATTTCGTAATTCATAAATTAAGAATTAAAAATATGTCAAAAAAATATTAAACAGTCAAAATATATTAACCCGTTTATAAAATGATAAGGAAATGATAATATAAATATTTGATAACAATTTATAATACCCAACTACCCAAGTATCTAGAGACTAGATTCACAATTCTTAAATTCTTAAATTACAACAAATTAATCTTTTCAAAAACTTGTAAACATAGCATAAATACTTATTTGTTTTCATTAATTTATTTTTAGTTTTTCGGTTTTCCCTATATCTTGAAAAGTACTGGACATTTTTTTGCTTTTGACTTCTTCAAAGAGATGATTAGAATGATTAGATACAATTTACCACCAAAGTCCAGGCTCTACATTTAAGACAACATTTTTAGTTTTTACTGCTTCATAGAGTGGTGACAAATTAAAGATTCAACTTATTTACATATATTGTACTTATAACCAATAGTCAAAAATGGTGTATTTATGTAGGGTTGCTTACTTGTTTAACTGTTAGTTATAATTATAAACGTTGATTAATCTATTTAGTTTTTATTAATGGTAAAATGAAAAAAATTATTACATCTCAATTAACTTCCCATGTTTAGTTCTGAATCATAATAATATGACGATTATTAGATTACGGGTTTAAACAACGTATGCACTTTCTATCAATAGTGATTTTACACGTTTATATCTACGGGGCTGCTGTAGAGTGTAGAGTAGGTTGAAGAAATGTTACGAAACTGTTATTATGTCCTGCTATATCGAATGGGTGTGTAAATGTGTAATGTGTATTGTATACTGTATACATATACATACATCATAGTATTATACGCGTGGTAGGTATGTGCGGATGTGTGGAAGTTGTCCAGTTAAGTCGCGCAGTTAACACCCGTGCTTGCACTCTAAGGCGGGGATTGGTAAAATGTATTTGATAAGTGATAACTTCGTCGAGGTCATTGACGACTGACAGGCGAAAACGGCATTCTTAATAGTTGTTATTCTGTGGGAATGATAATTATTGTTAATGAAAACAATCGACTTGATTATGAAAACATCGACGATAAACGGTATAAACGTATTGAGTAGGACGCATCTAGGGTATTCAAGTTAGCTCGAGTGTGTGGGTTATTGTGTGACGTGCGCTGACTTTTGATTACAAAATACAAATATCAAACATAATTCTTGTAAGATATAGCAGAAGTGGCCCACATGAATACATCCACGAGCCACATGGATAAATACAATCATATCAAGAACCAAAATGTTTTTAAATACATTTTATAATTTTATCGTTAATAAATAAATATATATATATATATATATATTTTAATAAGACGCGAGACGCATACGACCACAACGAGAGCTGCAAGTTGGCCACCCCTGGTATATAGTGTTTAATATTTAGAAATAATGATAAAAACTGCAATATTGTAATTCTTAAAAAATTTAAATAGGTACTCAAATTAAAAACAAACCCTAATGAAGAACTAAGGGGAAAAACGATAATGATAAAAAAAAAATTAGAATAATTTCTTCCCAACGAATTGATATATGAATCGAGTTGGGGAATAAACATCTTTGTCAATGTCTCAGTGCCACAATACAGGTTTAAATACCCATATTTATGACAGTGTATTTGAATACACCGCCATAACTTTAAAATTGAAATACTGAACGTTTTAGGAATATTGACTATTATCGTATTATCCCCTTAGCCATTCAAATGGAATATGAAAAAATTTGTTTAATTTGATTAATCCATTAATCTAGTAGTTATAATAAGTACCTTTTAACGAAAATATTTTATTCTATTTTTAACATTTTAAAAAATGAATTATTTACTTAAATATTTTTATTTTAAATAATTACCATAGAGCAAAACAAGCAAATCTAGAAAACCGAAATATTTAATTGAATACTTATGGTAATAAATTGTATTATACCGTTATGTTTACTTTACAAACTTTAAATATTCATCAAARTATATCTATAGTTAGTAAACTACTATATATTATGTCATGTACAGTGTTTACCTTACGAAAATACAAACAGTCAAGAGTTAGAACGTGGTTAAACATTTTCGTACTTCTCCATTGCGTATCTATGTAGTAAACCAACAACAAATTATAAATAATATAATCACTTCTACGTGTACTAATGTTGGTTAAATATACATGCTCCCTTCAAAATCCCTTGTAAAATTCTTTTGAGATTRCATCCATCTGGGACCAATGATATTTATATTTAAAAATAAACAAGTKTAAATTGTTATTCGTATTCTTTGCATTCTAATGATTTAAAAACGTTTTATTTTCACTCAATTTTTTCGTTCAAATATATTAATCTATAATACCTAAATAACTTGACAAGTTATTAAGATATCTAACTAAATTTTTATTTTTAAATTATAATTATATATATATATATATTGTGTAAACACTAATTGGTTTTCAACTTAATATCTCTGCGCTGAATCATGACATATAAACAGCCGTATAAAATCATTGATTTCAAAAAATAATTCTAATCGAAGACGGTCTGTTATAACCTTAACCTATAGCATTACCTACTAAGTTTTTATTTTTTATTTTTTCTCTTCATCTTTCTCTCACTTCCAATGCTGTACCTCTATATTTTAACGTTATACCTTTATAAATAATCTACATTGTACTCAATATTCATAATGTTGTATAGCACCTAATTTAATGTTTACATTGTACAATATGCCAATAACCTTAGTTGTTGCGRCTTTAATAAAAAAAAAGCGGGTAAGTCGTGTATGTCGCTCTGCTGTACAGTAGGTTACAAGTGGGTTACTGTAATGGATGGAATTAAATTTGAATCCAATGATATTATATCATTGTATACA